AAGAACTGAAGTGTTTCTAGAATTCTTTTTCACATGTAAATTTTTAAATTTAACAGCCTTAATATAAGAATATGTGTATTTCTGTGCATGAGCATAGAGTGAAATTATTTTAAAACTATTCTTAAACATTTTATTTTATCCTTTTTGGCGTCAGTACCTCATAGCCCTAATGAAAATTTAAATATTTATAATTAATGCTCATTGAAATTTTTAAAAAGTCTTTATTTTACAAAGTCAATATATCTCAATCTAAAAAAAAAAAAAATTTAATTGTCTTACTTGCCACTTTCCAGTATCATCTACTTAGTAATCAATTAATTCTATCAGATTCACCCTATGGTTTAGATGTTGAAAAATACTTTTAAGAATTATAGTAATTGAACTGACTGATGTGTTTCCAATATCTACTCTAGCTGTTAAAGTCAGTTTATCTACTGAATGTTTTAGATTAAGTTAAATCACAAAGGGCCTGTTTATCAAATTAGGTATCTAATATTGTCTAAGTTTGCTTAAGTGGGTTCATCTCTAAAAACACAAACAAAAACAACAAAAGCCTGTGAACATCCTATTCTAGAAATTTCATTCTGGATTTTTTTTTTTTTTTTTTTTTTGAGATGGAGTCTTGCTCTGTCACCCAGGCTGGAGTGCAATCTCAGCTCACTGCAACCTATGCCTCCTGGGTTCAAGTGATTCCCCTCCTCCCTCAGCTTCCCGAGAAGCTGGGATTATAGGCGCCTACCACTGTGCCCGGCAGATAATTTTTGTATTTTTAGTAGAGATGGGGTTTTGCCATATTGGCCAGGCTGGTTTTGAACTCCGGAACTCAGGTGATACACCTGCCTCGGCCTCCCAAAGTGCTGGGAGTACAGGTGTAAGCCACTGCTCCTGGCCCTCCACTCTGTTTTTCTTGTTTGTTTTTGATTTCCTCAATGCAAACATTAGTAGTTGCTGCTATTTCTATTAAATTAATATTTTTAAGACTTACAAGGCTTCAGTAAATACAATTCCCAATTGAAGACACAGAATGTTCCTTCTTGACATCATTTTATATTGTCTTTAATTTACTCGTGAGTTTTTAATATCCAGGGTTTTGCTTTATTTTTTTTTTCTCTTTTATATGCTTAATTTAAGCTCACAGATGGATTTGGTATAAGACATCACTCTAGATGGTTGACTTTTACAGATCAGGTACTGTTTCCCTAGCCTTATAATGAAATGTTTCAGAAATGGCCAAATTTTTGTTTTTAGGTTAACTCATCCATCACTAAACTACAGCTTTGGGTGAAGTCAGACACTTCAAAGTCCTTTAATGCAAATGTCTCCATACCTTGCACCAGCTGGGAAGGTGATGGGAAGAATGTCTTCCTACAGTGAAGACAAATAACATTTGCTTGATTGGCAAACACTTTTGCAATAAGGAGCGACAGACACTCTTGGTTAATTCCCTTCTCGGCCCAGTTGGATTGCCTGCCAGGCTACTGGCCGGATGCTGCTGAGATGAAAGATTCCAGTGGACAGGGTCATCATTTGAGTCAGGGGCTAAGGTGTTCGTTATACAAGTGCAGCTGCTTCTGCCTAGCTTAGTAAGCTCCCTGATGTAGCCATTCTCTCGTTTCCTGCCTTTAATTATAGATGAGTCCTAGCTTTTACTGAAATAGAGATAAATAAATGTGCAACAGGTGGAGAAAGAAAGATATGGGGGCAGTAGAATTAAAGAACATAAACAGAAGATGATTCAGAGATATTTCTACATAGAGAAAAAAATATCTAGAAACAATGTAGCTTGATCATTCTCCAGAACTTTCCTTTGCACTTACTAGCTATGGGATCTTAGGCAGGCAGTGAAGACTGGCTCTGTGTCTGGCACATGGAAGATGTGCAATAAATTGGCCCTTCCTACATATTCTCATGTTGGTTACAGATAACAGAGTAGCATGCTTTTATACTCACTGCAAAAAAAAATCCTATGAAAGACAGCTCTGTGTGTGTACGTGCGTGCATGTTTGTGCACATGCTTGTATGTGCATGCATTTAAATGGAGTTACATTAAGGTCTTCACAGATCCAGCCCCAAAGGTGGTTAGAAATGGACCAGCTGTCATTATATATGCTTAGCATTTTTCTTTCTAGAGCCGTGCAAGTCTGAAAATGAGGGTAAGGAAACCTACAGAAGAAATGAATTAAAATAATACCTATCAAAATATTCTTTACATCTTTGATAATAGATACTTGTGGACTGATTTACTGAATGTTTAGTAGAGAAAGAAAGGGACAACTAAAGAAATATGAAGGCAAAGTTCAATCTAGCAGTGGCCCCAGTACTGGCTTTTCATATCTAAACTTTGATTCTGCATGAGGCGGCTGAGTGACAGCAAAGGGGCTGAAAATTTGAAGACCTGTGTCCTGCTGTGAGTTCCAGTTTTGTATACCATGATCAGAAAAATAAAATCAAGTCCCAGCCCTGGCCCCAGTGTCTCACTCTACCTATCTCCAAAGCTGCAACCTGCTTTCTGCTTTTATGGCTTCTCCAGTTTCTTAAACTGGCTCTCCATCAAACTGGGAAGTAGACAGTGAAGTATTTCCTGTCTACTCACCTCCCTTGACTTGCAAAGTTCCTGACTACTCTTCCAATATCTTACCTCCCACCTAATCCTCTTTCCTTATTTTTCCCTGCTGTGTTTTGCTCTCTGCAAGCTTTCAATGAATCCCCACTGAGGTGATAACTGATAACCAAGGTGTTAACTGAAGTGTGAATTCTCCTAGGATTATTTAAACCTTGAAAGCAGGCTGTTTGAGGACCCAAATGTTGATGTATAGAGAAACTGACAGGAAGCTTTCCCTGTGGTTAATAACATCACAACATCACACCTATTATACTTTGATGCCTAGTCACTTAACCTAGAAGATGACAATGGCTTGAAGAGAAGCTTAAGGAGCTGTAGGAGCATGAGTGTGACTGAACCATACCAGGCCAACACAAACACACTGTAGACAGGTGCACTTTGCCTCTTTCCATTTCAGAATTTTAAACTTGCATTTTGCTGGTGAATCCTATTCTATCATCAGATCTGGAGTTTGAAACCCTATCAAAGCCTTTTCTCCCAAGATGCATTCAACTGTCATTATTTGTTTTTCAACAGATTTCACAACTTGGAGAAGTCCCTGTGGAGATGCAGTATGGGAAGCTGCCAGTGAAAGTCAGATGTGAAAACATGCTACGAATATTAGAGAGTCAGCCACAAAATAGATAGATATATTGGGGGGAAGGGATGTGGTATAAACATAAATATATGTGCTTCCAAAAATTTAAAGGTGACCATGTTGGGCTTAGATGGTGGCAATTACTAAGCTAAAATATATGGCAGATGCTGAAAGGGATGACTGTTAGAGCATCATTCCTCACCAAATATTTTCTGGCTAATAGCAACTTTTGTAAAGGTAAGTCACAAAGGTTCGAAGGTCATTTTTACTTTTAAAATTACTGACTTCTGTCAAGTATCAGTTTCTCATAGAAAGCAATTTCTGTGCTTTCCCTATTTGATTTAAATTTAGAAATAATGAGATTATAAACCATAATGAGATATTAAGAAGTAAGTATTTCAAATTTTGAGGTAGAGAGCTAAGGGTGAGAGTGTAGGAGGTGGAAGGACCAGAAGGTAAGAAAACGGTGATAGTGGAGGATGGACCACCACTAATACTGTCTTGATAAATGTAGTAAACAAGAATTTAAATATGTCAACTACATGGCAATGACCCTCTGTGGACAGGATAAAATAGATATCTTTGAAGAATTAGCATACATCTACATTCTTAAAGAGTTTTCTGACATTTGCTTGTGTCAGTCAGGGCTCCCATGAATTGCAGTAGTAAGTTCTATGCTTTTTCTCCATTCACCACAGTAGAAATGGGGGCAACTGAGAAAAATATCTTTTTTTCTAAGTTAAAAATAGTAATTTCTTTCTATTACATACATATTTCCTACCATACGTATTATGCATTCATTTGGAAATATTACATTAAAAAAGAAATTAATCTTAATCATTAATAGATTTATTAATATTAATAAGTTAATATTAACCATCATACAGTAAATGTACTTACATTTACTGTGTTACTGCATCAATCTAGTCTAAATTTCTAGTAGCCTCCAAACATTTAAGTGTACGGCTGCTATTCAAATATCTTAAGTTTGGAGGCTACTAGAAATTTTCAAAGGTCATAACTTTGGGAGATGTAGTTTTGGCTGAAATCTCTAATAATTCAAATAGTGATACAGAATATTATCGCAGTCTATTGGCTTGCAGCCATTTGTAGATTTACGTGAAATATTCACTTCCCCTGAATCCTCTAAATATGAGAGGTTCTCTGTATCCGATTCTCTCTACAGGGGGCTAATTACTGATTTCCTCCCAGTTTATTTAGAGTCTGTCGAAAAGACATGGAAAGCCAGTATTTTGTCATAAATGAACTGTGGAATACAAAATCGGGTTTTGGGCTTCAAAACTCTCTTCTGGTTTTGCAGGAGGGAGACAGTAGGCTTTAAAAGTTTCTGATTCAGGGTCTACATTGTAAAGTGCAGTTGCCAGGGAGTTTTTATAAAGAGAAAAATGAAGGTAGAGCATGTGGGAGACAGGGGTTTTCTCCAACGCCTTACCTGGTGATGCTTCTCTCTTTAAAAAATGAAAGAAAAAACAAAACAAGAAGCGGCCACCTTTAACACGAAACTTCGCTTTCGGTGATAATCCGGAATTTCACACAAACTTTAAATTTTCCGAAATTACAGCGCTCTCCCCAGACCTCCCGAGCATCCGGCACCGCCGGGGGGCGGAGCTGGGTGCCGGAGGCCCTCAGGGCGGGAAGCGCGGGGATTCGAGCCTGCAGACCCAGCAAGTTTTCCTCCGCACTGCTCCTCCTTTCCCGCGCCGGCCCGCGCGCCCGAGACTGTGGCAGAGCCGCCGCGAGAGCTGCGCGCCGTGTTCCTCCCGCGCGCGGGGTGGGCGGGCGGCTCCCACGCGGGCCCCTCGCAGGAGGGGGAGGGGGCGGAGCGGGTCCGGGTTCCCAGGCGCGCAGCCACCTCGTCCTCGGGTTCCGGCCGAGCGTCCCGCCGCGGCTCCCGCGCGAGGAAGGTGGGACGCGAGGGGGAGGAGGAGGAAGCGCGGGAGGGGGGGGGCGGGGGAGTGCGCGGAGCGCCGCGCGGGGCGGGCGGGCGCCGGGGAGGGAGCGGAGTGGACGGCGCCAAACGGCGGCGCGTGCGGCTCCGGAGCGCGGCGACTTGGCAGAGCCGGGCTGCGCTTCCGCGGGAGCGGCGGGCGCCGTGGGGCTCCCGACAAGGTGAGGTGCGGGGCAGTGCCGGGGCGCCCTGGCGGCGGGGCTGGGGCTGGGGCCGGGGCTCCGTCCTCACGCCACCTGCCTCCTCCCGGGGCTCCGTCCTCACCCTGCGCCCTCCTCCCGGGGCTCCTTCCTCACCCTGCGCCCTCCTCCCGGGGTCCGTCCTCACCCTGCGCCCTCCTCCCGGGGGTCCGTCCTCACCCTGCGCCCTCCTCCCGGGCTCCGTCCTCACCCTGCGCCCTCCTCCCGGGGCTCCCTCCTCACCCTGCGCCCTCCTCCCGGGGTCCGTCCTCACCCTGCGCCCTCCTCCCGGGGCTCCCTCCTCACCCTGCGCCCTCCTCCCGGGGGTCCGTCCTCACCCAGCGCCCTCCTCCCGGGGGTCCGTCCTCACCCTGCGCCCTCCTCCCGGGGCTCCCTCCTCACCCTGCGCCCTCCTCCCGGGGCTCCTTCCTCACCCTGCGCCCTCCTCCCGGGCTCCGTCCTCACCCGCCGCCCTCCTCCCGGGGTCCGTCCTCACCCTGCGCCCTCCTCCCGGGTCTTCGACCTCACCGGCCGCCCTCCTCCCGGGTCTGCTGCGCGTGAGCGCGGCGCCGTGGGGCGCAGCCTGCGGGGAGGGACGCGCGGCCTCGGCCGGTCTCCCCCGCGCCCGCCGCGGCTCGCCCAGCTCCCCGGGCCCGGCCTTGCCCCTCGCCGACGCTAACGCGCCCCGTGTCCCCCCAGATGCTGCGGGTCCCGGCCGTGCTGTGCGTGTGCGCCGCCGCCTGGTGCAGTCAGGCTCTGGCCGCCGCGGGGATCGCGGGCGGGGGGCGCTCGGACGGCGGCAATTTCCTGGATGACCAGCAGTGGCTCAGCACCGTCTCGCAGTACGACAAGGAAGCCGGGCGCTGGAACAAATTCCGAGACGTGAGTGCCGCGTGGGTGAGGGTGGGGGGCGGCTCCGGGCTCCGGGGCGCGCGGCTCGCGGCCTCTCCCGTCCGGTTCCCCGGCTGCGTCTCGGCGGCGCCGGGCTCGGGTCTCAATGGGTCCCGCTGGGTCCCGCCCCTCCTCCCGCACCGAGTTCGGGTTCCGCCCGCTCTCTCCGCGCGCTCCTTCCGCAGAGGCTGAAAGCGCGGCGCTCCCTCCGCAACTCCCAGGGGCGTCGCCAGCCTCGGAGCCAGTGCGCGGTGTCGCTGCGAAAGTCCCAGGGATCGATCCCTTCACTAATGATCCGTTAAGACATTTGAGGGAAGGTTCCTGAAAGCCACGCTCCGCTCTCCGCGGCCCCAGCAGGCGGCCCCAGCAGGCGCTCGTTGAACTGCTCCGGCGACCTAAAGGGTCGGCCAGGTTTACGCTTCGGCGTGACTTTAATACACAACACTTCGTAATGCACTTTAATTTCGCTTTATTCCAACATGGATCGGTGCCCTGAGGTCTTCGGGGAGTGGGTGCATGGGCGGGGGTCCGTGGCAGCATGAAGGGGTTAAACCGTAGACCCCCCCCCACCTCCTCCGTGGAGTTTTCACCACCGAGATTAAGGGAGAGCCAGGTTCAGAGCCCCTGAAGCCAGTCCTTAGTTTCCTCACTTGATGTGAGCTGAGCCGGGTGAGAGCCGCCCACGTGGAAGCCTTGAACTTTGGCAGTCCCGGGAAGAGGCCGCCCTGATGGTGGGTCCCCGCCCCCAGCCCGCTTGACCTGCAGCGGGACAGGTTCACAGGCACGTGGCGAGTCGTTCACGTGACACTGGAGGGAATTTCTCGTGGAGTCCATCTGCAGTGCACTGCCTGGAGATGATGGGTAACTTCTGCCATCAGCTCTGACTTGGGCACCACTGGGGAAAATGAACCGGAGCCTAAGCTAGCTCCATGCGGCCTCCCCTAACCCAGTCTCTCAGCCTCTCCAGGAGGTAGCTGACAGCCAAACCCAGCAGAGCCATTCCTGAAGAAACACTCATTCTTACTTTAACATTAGGTGTAGCCAGTTGATTGGGAATATTTAACAGAGAACTTTGCGTACATACTTGATGAACAAAGCTTAAGCATCATTTTATTGCTAAATAAATGCCCTTATAAAAGCATAACTTTTGCGTTATTTAAGTTTATACTTATATTGAGTACAAGGAAAGAGGCAAGCAAGTGAGATATTCCTACACCTAACGAAATTGGTTTATCATGCCCTCATTTGGCAAAAACGTTATTGAACATTTTATAAGTATTTGAACATTGTTTCACATTATGGCATTTCATTATCTAATGGCTGCTTGAAAATCTTTTAGAAATGAATTTTTGAAACCCCTCTCAACAATGGGATATGTCTAGTGGATACCGGTTGCATGCTGTTTTCTATTTTTTTTTTTCTTTTTGTTTGTTTCTTTGTTTAGCTCCGTTTGATAGTGATAAAATCAACTGCAAAAGATTCCTCAGTGGGAGAACTGTAGGAGTACTAATAACCTTCACCAGGAGCAGACATGAAAGCTTTCTTCTCTAAATTGTATTTTAAATTTTGAGTATTTTCGTATTCTCTTACTTTATTCAAATTAGTTTATTCAATTATTGAGTGAGTTGGACAGTTTGTGAATGTGTTTATGGAGACAAGCTGAGTTGTCTACTATAGAACAAAATATGCTAAAATTTATGCAATTTCTGTAGACAGTATTTTATTGCTATATCATTTTCAGATGTTCTTCTCTGATCTCAAGCAAAAAGTCCATCAAAATTGTACATAAATTTTCAAAAGGATTTACTGATACATTGTAAGCAAATATCTGTTTTGAAGTATATGCAATACCTAAAAATATAATACTGATGTATTGGAAAAACTTTCATCAGGTTTGAGTATTACCATTTTAATAAGACAGTTACATTTTTGTAAAGGACTTCTACAGGGCATGGAGCAGATAAACGCTATCATGTTTTACCCGTGAACCACCTGTTGCTTATTCTTAACATGATGAAATGTATGCTGACAGTGTGGTTTCTCAAATAATAGCTCAGAGTGCATATTACAGAATCCTTATCTAGAGCTTCCATCCCACCGCTATTTATGCATATTCTTTCCATTTTGGGGAATTATTAGCTTAATAATCTTTCCTGTAGCTTTCAGGATGTTATTTTTCAGTTCATTTGCAGCTGGAAGCACGTGGTGATAAGGCATTACTTGAAATATACTCGACTGAATGAATCTACCTTTTAATGTTCTGCATGAGCTTTGATAAATAGTGGATTTATGTACTCAGTTGATATGAGGGCAAAGAAACATGGAATTCTGAATGAACCTCTTCTTTGAGAAACAATTTAACATTTGTGCCTTTTTCCCCATATTATTTGTGAGGTACATTTGTGCTTTTTCCCCCCATGTTATTTGTGAGGTACATTTGTGCTTTTTTCACTCCATATTAATTTATTTATTTAAAAAAAAGCCTTGGAAAGCATCAGCGTAATTGTTGCTGAGATTAATCCTTATTTTTTTTTCTTCCCAAGTGACTGTTTAACATAAGCAGCATTTGAAATACATTTGAAAACTATCTGAAATAATTTAAAAATATAATTTAGCATTATATTTAGATTGAATGATTTAGAAACGTTACTCTTTATTTTATATGTAATGTGTAAATATTTATTTATAAGAAAGCTTTAGGAGCAAAGGGCATGGATGGAGTTATGTGAGAGTAGGTGAGCATGAGAACCACTGTCATTGAGGCTCATTTTCTCGATTTCCCCAATATAAATGCTATAGAAGTAATGACAGCAAAGACAAGCTTACAGTGAGAAGGTGATAATGCAGAAGAAACCTCAAAGACTTTTGACTACTCTATGCTAGCAATGTCTGTTGAATAGTTTGTTACCTTTGTTGGCCTTTTGAAGGACCTTGGAATGTACCATGTTTAATGCTATAGATGTAAAGAGCTTTCACTATTTTGAAAGTTATTAATTTATTTGGTTATTAGTATCAAAATTCTGATAGACATTTTAATATCTATGTTTTATGAAAACATAAAAGTTTCACATAATCTAAAGATGCAGAAAAGTCAACACATTTAAACCTAAGTACAGTAAATAGGACCAGCATGCTTTACTTAGGTTATAATTATGTAATTTTTTAAAAATTGTACTTTAGTTTCTGGAGTACATGTGCAGATCATGCAGGATTGTTGCACAGGTACACACATGGCAATGTGGTTTGCTGCCTCCATCCGCCATCACCTATATCTGGCATTTCTCCCCATGTTATTCCTCCCTGACCTCTCCATATAACTCTCTCAACAATGGGATATATTCAGTAGATATACTGGTTCATGCTTTTTTGTTTTTTTTTTTTTGATGAGGGGCCCTGTTGGGTAGTGATAAAATTAAGTACGCAAGATTCCTCCTTGGGAAAATTGCGGTAATACCATTATCTTTTCCCAGAGCTGGAGTAAAGGATTCATTCATCCCATTCTTGTGAATATATTAGGAGAATTGGAAATCAGGATCATTATGAGGAAACTGAATTATTAGCTCAGGTGGCTCATGTATTGCATATTTCAAACATATTTTATAGTTTAATTAAACCATACCCTTTATCATGTAATAAATGAGTGTGGAATTTGGAACCAATAAATTTATTAGTAATACATGGTATAACATTATCAAAATTATCCATTACTGATTTTACTGAAATACATGCAATTATTAGGGATGACAAACATAGAATATGAGAAGCTCTCAAATACTGTATTTTGGAACCAGAAAAAAGAGGAATGATGGCCATGCTAATTTTTACGTACATTATATAATAAAAACAGGATTGTGCCCTTTAATGGAAATTCAAATAGTTCTAGATTAAATTTGTTTTTCCAATAGAAATACCTGGGGCCCATTTTGAACTTTTTGTTTTAAGGAATGTTTAGTGTTGCGAAAACCATAATAAACTTCAGTTTACATTTATTCCTTCAGTGATGTTTGATATCCTTCAGATATATTTAATGCAATAATAAGGTTCTACAATTTAACTTTACAAATTTAACCTTAATATAAGCTTAAGGACATGTAGAATATTGGAAAAATATAAAATACAGGCTGACGTGTCTCGGAGGCACTCAATATATGTTGACTTTTAAAAAATACCTGATTTGGGGCTGTTGAATAGTAAGTAGAACATTATAATTTTGTTTTCTTTTTATTCTCCTTTTTCATCTAAGGTGAAGTTCTTAAGTGTATGGATTATTTAAGAGATAATGGCTGATGGTGAGGGATATTTCCTGGCACTTAGTGGGCTACAGAGAAGTAAAGGTTCCCTAGAGTCTGTCAACTTCTACTGTTGTTAGAAAGTAAATACAACAATTGGTTTCTATGGCTATGCAAAATAAAGTATCCTACGGCTCTAGAGAACATTAAAATTCAAGCAATGAGAATCTTTAAGGAATGCTCTCTCGGTACATTTTTTAGGTTTATGATGTGCCCTGGTTGTATTTCTTGAGTCCCATGCGTACCCTTACCATTGAAGGATCCTTTTTTTCTGGCAACAAAGTTATGCTATTATACTTTTCAACAGCATGTATCAAAAATAAAATTAAACATTTATTAATAATTTGGATATATTTAATAAACTACTTTCTGCCTAAGAATGCTTTCTCAATAATGGAGATCCAATTCTTATGAAAATGTACATTTTCAGTGTTTCTCACTATGGAGCAATATTTGTAACCCTCGTAATAGTTACCTGTACTTCACTGTAGTTGAGAACACAGGCATTTCATGGGAATTCTTCACAGTTAATTGAGTGCATTATCATGAGTGTTCTTCTCTCTTTTGCTTTTATGGTGATTATGGGCACTATGTTTACTTAAAAGCTTGTGAATATAGTGTATCTATTTGCAGATAGAGTTGGTGAAGACTGTAGCATGCAGTAGTATTTTTATTGGACGATTATTCATACTGTTTAAGTCA